ATGCTGGAAATTTAACGCTGGAACCGCTCGATGGTTCTCAAACACATGTTTTGTATTTATTTATTTAATTTTAGTTCATTTTAGTTGTTGAATGCCACATTTTCATGCATTTAATTCATAGTTAGTGGTTTTGTAATACTCAGCTCTATGTGCATTGGCTTAAGGGGAGGAACCACAGGAAAATGATTGAATTATACGTATTTTATTTATTAAATATAAATCAAGTAATCTGGGCTGTAGAGATTTGTGATTACCCTTTGGTCAAACATGTTGGTCCAATTTATAAGCAACATCTTTTTCGGGTTTCCTTGAAACTCGAGATTTCAAGGCCACAAGGTCTTCATGACGCATGTTGGACCAATCTTTTTTTTGTCCTGCAAGTTTCATCCTAACAAGGAGTTTTTGTCTTGTCCTAGAATGATAGTTCAACTTATTTCACCCAGTAGCTCACTTTGCTTGTTCTCTTGTAATCAGAGAGACACTTTCACAGACAGTTAACTGACCATCTTCTATATGATTGTTAAATGTATTGGTAGTCAAGTTGTTGAGTCATATTTTTTTCTTAGTCCTTATCAGTGTTGGGCAGTATTTTGTTTTTAGTTACTGTAATTGGTTTACTTTTTTGAAATGCAGTAATTAAACATTTTCAAAAATTTTCAAAATGATTAGTAGATTGTAGTTACAGTCCACGTAACTATGCGTTAGCGCTGTGTTACTAAGAGAAAGCGCATATTTAAAATTCAATGTCATAAAACAGCTTTGTCAGTCTGGAGTAGGTGCTTGGCTTGCAGTTGCACACATGGCAGTGTGTGACATGATGTCATTTAGAGACTAGGGATGCCACAATACTTGTTTTTATACTGATCTGAACACTACCCCACCTTCGGTTCCTCATTTGAATAACTCCTGTATGCATAATTATTATTTCAACATGCATGGCGAACGTCTTGTTTACAGATGTGAACGCATTTCTGGAGTAAATGTCCAATCAATGAACTGCTCCTTGAATGAATTGCTAAAGTTTGAGGAGGGCGGGACTACCCATGTTTCTCTCCAAACGTGGCCAGAGTGCAGCTCTCTGTCAGTGGGAGGAGGCACCATCCGCTTTTAAACATGTGGTTTGGACATTAGACATTTCAGCTTTGCTGTGGAATACGACAAAGATTGGATAAGAACAGTAAACAAATATGTCACCAAGTGATGTCATCACACAGCACCTCTGCAAGCAAGGTTTGTTATTATGGACAATATTCAAGGAATTCTTTAAATGCTAGTAGTGATAGGCAGAGGTGGGACCAAGTCACTACTTTACAAGTCCAAGTCAAGTTCCAAGTCAATACAGGGCAAGTCAAAAGTTGCTAAATTTTAATTTCACGTCACTTCAGATCATTTACAAAAAAGAAAAAAAAAAAAAAATTGATAGCTTTCCTGTGGCTCAGTCAGTAAAGCAATGCACTAGCAAACCAAAGGTTGTTGGTTCAAACCACAGGGAAAGCAAAAACCAATGAAATGTATTCATTTCTTGAAATGTAAGTAGGTTTGGATAAAAAACCTGCCAAATATGTAAATGTGTGTTATCCCAAAAATGCCAAAAACCCAGGCATAAAATCTAAATATATTAAAATGACTAAAATGTAAGCATTAAAAAGAAAATTCATTAAAAAAAATCTGCAGTAATCTTCAAGATCATTTGCTCCTGGTCACAGACCTGGTATTCTTTAAGCTCTTTTGGCTAATTACACTGAACTTTTGGAAATCTCAAGTGAAATAAAATAAGTTATGAAGACTATATTTAGCACAAGGTGATGGATTCAGGGCTTTTTGTACAAAAGGTGTGTAACAGATCGAGTTTGACAAACCTATCCTATCCCATTGCAACCCTGGACCAGAGTAAAAAAAATAAATCCTGTCCTGTCCCACTCCTGTAGAATTGACTCCTGGTCCCATCCCACTCCCACTCAAAATTACTCCCACTTCCATCCAACTCCTGCCAGCTTACAAATACCTGTGGTCATTTGAAATGGATTCCACTTTAGTAAAAACAGTGACATTGGTCTCATTAACCATCTTAGTGAACCGAACCGCAAGAAAATTCTGTTTATCATTTTTTTTAGCCATTTTTCTTTACAGATTAAATAAAACTTTCAAAATCTGGCCAATTTTGTTTTTTGTTATAAATGCTCAGAACAGTGTGTAATAATAAAAAAGGATGTTAATTTTCATCAAGTTCCTCTTTATAAACAACTGTAAATGTACAGCAACAATATTCTTGAGATTACAGAAATTAAACTCAAGCTATCGTACATCAACTCAAAATGTTTTGTCTGAATACGGCTTTCAATGTCGATTTTACAGATTATTTTATTTAAAAAGGTCCAGGTTTGTTTTTTTTCAGCTGTGGAATATAGTCTCTCTATATATAAATATATTACATAAGATTAGATTTATCCAAAAGAAACCCATGTGTTTCTATTAGAGTTGTTCCGATTCCGATAACAGTATCGAAAATGCTCCCGATACCACAAAAAAATCCGGCGTCGGTATCGGCGAGTATTTGAGTCCACGTACCGATCCGATACAATTTTCATAAACATAATCTAGTTAAGCCCGCTAGCTTTGCTTATCGCTGCAAAGCAGAAATCAATTCTTTTTCGCTGGCGCTGCTCAGAATGTAAACACAGGAAGTTGTGTCGTGTTACTACAAGCAACCAAGGAGAAGGACAAGCCGCGCCAGACGCAACAAACATTTGAAGCTTCATTCAAACAAAGAGAAAAGTTTACACAAGACATCCAACGAGCAATAAAGATAAGCGACAGGGTTATTGAGTTTATTGTACTGGATGACCAGCCACTGTCAGTGGTGGAAAACATGTGCTTTCACCGCTTAATTAAACATTTGGAGCCCCGGTGCAGTTTGCCTGGTCGCAAATATATCTCAGAAACAGCGCTCCCTAAGCTATATGAGACAGTGCGTGAACACATTTCATGTGAACTAAAGGACGTGCGAACTATCAGCTTCACTACTGACATCTGGAGCTGGACACAGTGACGCCGTCACCTTTTACTCTTCAAAGTGCAGTGCTGCAGGCTAACGAGTTTCGCGGCTCGCACACTGGCAAGTCTACAGCTGAATCAATCGAGGGTATGCTTGTGAAGTGGAATATTTCTGAATCCCGTGTTTATATTATTTTGCGCGACAAAGCAAGCAACATGAAAAAAGCGGAAGTGATCCCCTCAGTTACAGTTCTAAAACGACACCTTGCTCGGGAGAGCCAGGAGGACACTGGTATAAAAATAATGAAAAACACCTTTCTTGAAGCCGTCAAGAAACGATTCGCAACCATTGAATGCAGTTGCCACTCATTTGTATCCACATTTCAAAGATAGGGTATGTATATTACATTTTTTCCATGTCCATATTGATTATTGTAATTGCCATATTGAGCATATCTGAAGCACAGCATAAAATAATTTATTTTAAATTATAAAATGCATAAAATGTTAATTAATACAGGGCTAGTAGTATCTACAGCTGTATATACAGATAGACACCCAGGTATCAGATCGGTACTCGGTATCGGCCGATACCCTGAGCCCAAGTATCGAGATTGGGAGGGGAAAAATGGTATCGGAACATCTCTACCTATCACTACTACTAAGACAATGGTTATATTATTATATACAGTATAAATATTAAATTTACAATTAAATCTCAGCTAAAACACAGCTAAAGTGTTGCTAAAGCGATAACAGGAAATCAATCACTCATCTGTCAGTGCTCCTGACGAAAGGTCTGTTTTTCTTTGTTGTTTGTCGCCGGGGACAGCTTCGGTGTTAAAATGTTCACTTCTTTTGCCGACCTGGAAAACCTTTTGCTCTTTGGACTTCCATGTTTTAAATGATGTTCCCACTCCTGCCCACTCCCATTGATTTTTATTCCTGTCCCATCCCAATAACGAGATTAATAATAAAAGTTTATCCCATCCCACAGGAATCCCCTGGGAATCACAAGACCCGTGGGAAATCCCGACAAATGTCATCCTCTACTCCCAACACTAATCATACTGCATCAAATCATAACATAGATATTAAAAGCAGGCTTCAAATTTATTATACTCTTTTGTAGATATTTTATAATTAGAAATTGACTGCACACATTGCCATTACAAAGATCCGGACAAATCCATTGTTCAACCAACTCAAATTGCTCCAATTTCAGGTTGATCATGAAGATGGAGATTTGTTCAAGCTGCGACCTAATAGGAGATAGGCCTGAACTCAAACTGAAACCAAGCATGATTCCTTAAACAAGCATCCTTCAAGCAAAGTGGTCTCAGCTCTTAAATTGATTTAACACCCTTGAAACCTCCTGAACCCAATTTCATCCTGCTATCTAGCACTCACCTATGCTCAATACAGCGCAGGACATGTCCTGTCTGTGAAAAGTTCACCCCTGCTCCCATATTCCATAATTCCTCCATGGGTGCTGTTTCCTGCTTAGATCTCTTTACAAAACCAGTTCTCCGAAATCAGGCAGTACTGAGATCAAGACAAGACATGATTAGCTGAAACCAACACCAAAAATAGAATAGCATTAAAAAAATAATAATAATAATTTTCTTTATTGCAAACAACAGACGTTGCTGTAGTTTTGCAACTCTTTTTCTTTTATTTTGTTTATTGAGTAACAATAAAAACTATTTGTAATATTTAAACCTCCCTTAATTACATACTTTTTAATAATATTATCAGCAGTTCTCACCTATGACCATATGTGAAATCTGAGTTCCTAAAGATAAAAAACTGACTGTGTCAACTCACTCCTCACCAAGATCATTGTCTCCGGACCCTTTTTCAATGTACCACAGAGGGCCGTAAAACTTCATAAGACTTCACACTAAATGAGTGGCAGAATGATGTTCAGGAAAGAGTTTGCTCCTTGTAAAAAATATATAAAAATCTCATTTAGCATCTGATATCACCTCTAGAATCCTAAAAAAACCTGTTTGTGTTTTTTAGAACACTGAGTGTTTTCATTTTGAGAAGTTAGTGGAGAAAATGTCATAAGTTTGTGAATTATTTGTCATTATACGAGTTGCGGTTGCGCAAGCAGTAATGGCTTATAAAATGCATATCAGGCAAGCTGTTCAAAGTAGGGCTTCGAGTCCAAACTCTGGGTTGTAAGGGTGCATGGAGCCTTCACCGATATGGGCTTCACTCCAGTGGCAACCTTCAGCTTTCCTTCTTGAAGCCTAATAAGAAGTGACTTCAGCTGCAATTCCTCTACTTGCCCCTAGAGACTGGCTCCAGAAGTGAGCAAGTTCTTCTTCATGCCAATGTTAAAATTGCCAACTTTGGAGCTAAAAAAACATATTTCTATCCCTAGCTCCACTAGTTTGTTGATTTAGAGCTCTAGGTTTGACCATTTATGAACACTCTGATGGTGGTGAATTGTTTTTAAATTTGTGGGTTCTTTGATTTATTAAGCCTTGAAGTTGTGCATAATTTAAAGGTGTGGTTTCCTGATGGACAAATAATTGACAGTTCTTTCAGCCAGTCACATCGTCATCCTCTGGAGTCAGTCATTCCATAAATTTTATCTGAAAAACTTTGCTACTCCTTGTTTTTTTTGTTTTTAGATTTTACTGTCGATTGTTTCTTTTTAGTGTGTGGCTTTTGCCCATTTTCAATTCCTGGGAAGTGACGCACTATTGCGAAGGCGATTGCTGGCGACGGCCACTTTTAGCCTAATTTCGCTTCTCCGGAAACCAATGGTTGACGTCAGTGACTCTTTGTCCATGTTATTATAGTCAATAGTTACACCGAAGGCTGCATTTAGGGTGCACAGAGGGCACTAATGTGCACACTTCTACATCCTACGGACTTGTGCGAAACGAGTCTGCAAGTGTGCCATTTGGGACACTGGCACCATTAGTAATAAATGCAGTTTAAAAATGAATAAAATAGACTTTTGTTGTTGCTATTGTTCCATAAGCACTTTCTGTTTGTTAAGCCAAGAATACATTCTGCAAAATTTTAATATTTGGAGTTGATTCATCAGCCATGTGACAATGTAGTTTAATCATTGCCATCGATCATGTAGTGTACATGGAGTGATTAACACCTTACAAACAGCTCCCTCTATGCAATGAAATCAAGAAGCGTCACAAGAAAATCAAACCTGCTGGAAATCTACATTGCCCTTCATGAGGGTCTTTCTCTGTCTAAGCTCAACTTTTCAAACTGTGCATATGCAAGTTTAAGTGATGAAGCAGCATGGAAGCTCAGCAATTATTTGATCACAGGCAAATGCCTGCTTTAAGTGATTGCGCCAGTGAATAATAGGGACTTTTAAGCAGCTATGGACCTTTTAAGGTTATAATAATAAAAATAGCAGGGTGTTCAGTGGACCAGAAACATTTTACTATCAACTAGAAAGCTAGAAACCATCAAAGAACTTTCTCCCTAGAAATATTTATGGTTAAAAATAACTAG